TCTGGGTGATGGGTCCACAAGTAGTCATTGTATTATTTTCGGCACTTAAAAATTTTTGCCAGTCTGCTGGGTGTGCACTGATCTCATTGTTTTATTTTGTATTTCCCCGATGGCTTGTGAATTGAGTGTTGTTCACATGTTCATTGTGTATTGCTAGTTCCCAGTTTTCCTGAGTGTTAACAACGGAAGATGAAATGAGGAATTTCCCTAGAAGATGGTGAAGTGTGTGTTGCCGTGAAGAGAAGCCCAGGTGGAGGCAGCCTTCAGGCAGGTGGTTCTGCAGGTGTGAAGCCAAGGGAGGCGTCCAAGTGAGTGGTGAGCTTGCCCGGGGACGGAATGTCGAGGGAGATGGACCTGTGGCTCCTCCGCCTTAGCTGAGCAGAGAAGGGGCCTGGAAGGAACAACACCTGGTGTGTGGGGGTGGAGGGGTGGAGGGGTCAAGAGAGGCGAACAGTTCCTGGAGGGAAGCGGGGTGAGCAGCGCTGAGTGTGGCCAGGATGCCCTGTGGGCTGAGGGCTAGAGGGGGCCGTTAGGTTTGCCACATGGCGGTCTTGGGTGGCCTTGGCAAGGGCAGTGTTGGTTCGTGGGGACAGAAGCCCCTGAAAGGAGAGGGACGGGGTGTATGTGACACTTTCTAGGAGGCTGCCCAGGAAGGGGAGGAGAGAGATGGGGCTGAAGCCTGGGGAGGACGAGGGGGCAGGCCCAGGTGGAGGAGCCTGGGGAGGCTAAGGGCACCTCAGAGCAGGTGCAACGTGTTCCTGGGGTCGCTGTGCTCTGGGCTGCATGGGCACAGAGGGGAGCTCTGCCCGCAGCCTCCCGCCAGGGCCTCAGCCTCCTGGGCCAGGACACACCCTCCATTCTGAATGTTCACAGGACAGCCTGTCTTAGTACCAGCAGCAGCAGCAGCGGTGGCAATAATAGCAATGGCAGCCATCATTTATGGTTTCTTTTTAACGTGCAGGCACTATGCTAATTTTTTTATGCATTATCCCATTTAGTCTCCCCCTTAATTTTATGGGTTAAATACTGTTATTACCACCCCATTTCCTGGCTGAGTATCATTAGGCTTGGCGAGGTTAAGCAGGACACTGGGAAGTGGTAGAGCCTGGTCCTGGCCCCAGGTGACTGCCCCCAGAGCCCCACAAAGAAATGGCATTAGTGCAGGCCAAAGACGGGGGTCTCCTACAGGAGGAGAGCTGCGGGCGGGCGTCGCTGCGGCTGGGTGACAGGCACAGGTGCGGGGGCAGAAATCGCTGTGCCTGAGGAGCGTTGCAGGGCAGGCACCCTGGCAGGACCACTCAGACAGGACCGTCTTCGCCCCGGTGCCTGCCTGCTTGCCCTCAGGAGCTGCACAGTCAGTTTCCTGTGGCTCCAGGAGGGGAAACGCTGGGCTTGTTTCCTCGACCTCTGCCCCCAAACGTAGCTCTGAGCCCATCGCTCTCCCGCTCACAAACACCGGCTCTGTGCAGAAGCCCTTTGTGATGTGGTCCTTCACCTCTTCTGCTTCGTCTCCCCCTTCCTCCACCCCATCCATGACCACCCTTGGCTGGCTGCTGGGGAGGACTCAACAGCCCCCCAGGCAGACATGCTGCTCCTCCTCTCGCTCGCCCTTTCCTACCACCGCCCTGCCCGATCCAGCCATTCACCTGCCTCCCTGGCTCACCTGAGCCCTTCGACCACACCTTGCTGTTGTCTCCAGGGCTTGCAGCGCCAGCACCCAGCAGGGGCCTGAGAGTGAGGCATCTCCTGCATCATGCCAGGGAGCCAACATCCGACTTGACCCCACTGCACGGTCAGATGCTACACAATTTTTGGTGTTGGTATTGATCAGGAAGATGATTTAAAAGCAGGGCGGGGAGATGTTGATTCAATAAAGGAGAGCATTGCTCTCCTGTCTGAGGCTCCTGGGAAATAGTACCTGGTAAGCCTGTGAAACTGAGCGCCTTAAGAGTCTTCTGGAGTTAAATTTGGAATTGGGACGAGGTAGGAGAAATCCATGCTCATTGAATACAAAATGCAATTGTCTGTCAGTGCAGGAACTGAAGTGTCTGCTGCAAATTATATTTAAGACTCGATTGTCACGGGCAGATTAGCTAATGCTTGATTTTAAGTATAGGCTTCTAATGCTGTTACTCCTGGTTAGCTCTGCCTGGCAGGTAACCTTGTGGAACAAATGAGTCTGTTGCTTGAATAACATATTTGATCAAACAGGACAATTCTTTCAAAAATTGAGTTCTCTGTGGCAATTTGAGACCTGTAATCAGCAAATTAGATGATTACAGCAGGGATAAAAATAGTCTTCTAACGATGTCCAAGGTATAAATGTGATTTGAATTTCAAAATATTCCACATGTGGTAGGAAAATGCACGGCTGGGCAAATGCGACCAACATGATGGGATTTGATTTCTCGCTCCATCCCTGCTCTGAGCTGGAGCCTGATTTTGCCCGAATAAACTCCCAGCTCGTTTGTGTCTGAGTTAGAGACAGAAGTGTCTCTCGCACTACGCTCCAGATCTTGAAGGGTTCCACAGCTTTACTTCTCTGCCTCAGGAACTTAGCGTGAACCCCAGCTGCATTTATTATCCACTTGGTATGAAACGACCTCCATGAAACAATAAGCCGTCCAAGTTCCACACAAGGAAGGTGGCATTGAAAACCTTCCACACCACCACCTGAAGACCAGAGTTTTCTTTCTTAGGCACAGGGGACAGACACAGCAGTAGCTCTGGCGAGGCCCTGTGAGAGAACCGGGAGCGGGGTGTGGTATGAGGTGTGGCGTACAGTCCAGTCAGCCTTCGTGATGGGTCGATGAGGTGCTCTGTTTCTCCATCTCCAACACAAGTTAGACGAAGGGGCCACGTCCCCTCCCTTCTCTGGGTCCTTCCTGCTGACGCATCTCTGCCTCAGAGCATTTTTTCCCCAGGTGGACCAGAGCTGCCATTGTCACCCCTCATTTTGGTCACCTGGCCTCAGCTGGTCTTAGCCGAATTGAGAACAAAAATACCTTGGTAAATGGGTACACAGAGCCACGCGGCGAGGGGCTGCCGTTGTACCGACCACTGGCAGACGGAGGAAGCTCCTTAAGAGAGGAAGCTTGCTTTTACTTACCAGTGGCTCCTAGGATTTCTGGCAGAGCCACAGAAAATATTGATCACAATGGACTTCACTTACCTACTCGGGGCTTCTCCTTTAAATTAGTGCAGATGATGAAGAGCTGCCTGTGGCAACGCTGCCGTTTAAAAAAATACCAAGTTCCAGAAATGGAACATCCCAGCAATTTTACATACGTGGCATTGTCACCTCAGCACGTTCAGTCTCCCTCTCCTACGTGAAGGCTTCCCAAATGGCCTATGAATGGACATTTGCCCCCAATATGCTTCCAGACCAGTGTGACCTCACCTTTGTCAAACTCTCAAACTTACAATACCACTTTGAAAATAGAAATGTTTTCAGTGCCATATTTTTGCATAGAAAACACAAAATGTAAATTAACCACGTTTAGGATTTTTCTAACAAGTCACTCCCAAGTGATCACCATTTAAAATTCACTGCTTTTTAAAGTGAGCGCATCTCTGCCTGAGATGAAGAAATAATTAGCTAGGAGTATTGTTTGACTAAATACCATTATGTGTAGATTTATAATGCATTTATTAGGGAAATTAGGGATTAAAACTTGCCAGAACTGTAACGTCACAACGTGAAAAAGTAGGGTCTCTCTCCAACTTAATAGAAATATGGTACAGATTTAAAATGGCTGTTTTTCTTTCTACTTCAGATTTTGCAAAATGAGATAAAATACCAAGCTGAAAATAAGTGGTATTTATCTGCTCATTCTCCCTCCCTTTTATGAACCCATACATACACCAGAGCATTGTGAGAAAGGGACACACAAGACTTAACAAGACCACATTGAGAATGTTCAACGAAATGCGATGTGAACTGTGCACACACAGCCTTCAAGTGGATGGTGGCCTCCTCCATCAGGAAGGCACCTGGGATTCCACCAATGGTCAGGGGACAAATCGTATACTGACATCATGGCCCTGAGCTACACGTAATTTTACTTTGCGTTTTCTTCTTCAAAGTATAGTTTTAGGCTACTGTGTTATGTTAACCAGTTCTCTAAACAAAAATTCTTTAGGTTAAGATTTGGGTAAGGATGAAAAGAATATTAAATAACACTAATGACAGAAGTTTTACGACCTTTAACCCATCCTTGGGAAGAAATCCTACCTAAGAACCCTCTGGGATGCAGATGTGACTTCAGCACTACCGCCATCGCCAGCCAGGGAGCCCGACCTGAGCGGCCACTGCACAGGGCATTGTGGGAGAGATGCCAAATTGAAGCCTCATTCCCAGCTCAGGGGGCCCTCAGGAGGCATGCGAGGCTGCACCTGAAGCTCAATTCAAAAGTATTCTTTTAAGTGTATTTGCTTGAAAGGCTTGAGCTTCAAAAGCATGAAGTTAAAAAAGAGAACTTGAGATAGCCACTTTCAAAGCTGACTTCTAACTTCAATTACCAGACACAGCTCATAAAACCAGCTGTCTCAAAGACAGTGTTATCTTTATTAAAAACGGATAGACGTAGCAGCACTGACAAACACAAGTTCATAAAAGGCATTGTACACTGTCAACTGATAGTGTGAAAGGGCAGGCTCCGCACCACAACGTCACAACCACCTGTTCCACTTAAAACGACACAACCCAGAACACCGAGGGCAGGCCACCAGCGCCGTGGCACCCCTCGATGTCAAGCCTTTGTTGTTTCTGTGAACAGGCGTCGAGTCAAGCATCGCCCTCCGTAGCAGCATCTGGAGCACTCACTGGTGTTCTGGAGGTGGCTGGCGCACTTGACCCACTCATTAAAAAAATCCATGCATTCAATAAAAAACACTTCTCCCCGTCCAATGCCATCCACAGAAACACTTCTGCTGCGGAAGAGAAATGCTCTTCCTTTAGATATCTAAAAGCTAGTGCTCGCCTCTGCCGCGGCAGACAGAAGAGACTCGGCATAGGCACTTCGCACGACTGTCTTTGGTGGAGATGCGGGCGTGGTCATGCAGTCCCCTGCCCGCTGCTCTGCTTCTTACTGCTCTGTGGGGGGGTGAGGACCCCCGTGGGGGGAGGAGAAATCCTATTTTGTTCAGACAGTATGGCTTTCTTTGCTTGGGCTTTGTCCTGTGAATGAGAATAAAAGCGAGGCATATTAAAATGGAAGAATATATCCTCCGGGCTTCCCTTACTGTGTGCTTTCCTTCTGTGGAGGTGAAGGAGGGAAAACAGAGCAAAGAACAATCTGAAAGTCTCCAGTCTACATGACACTTAGACACAACATCTACTGAACATCATTTTTCTTTTTCAAGGAGTGACAGAGCTGGAGTCTCTGGGATGCCTGGAGCCTGCCTGAAGGGAGGTGAGGAGCTCTGCAGGCAGGCAAGGAACAGTACTGACCAGCAAATCCAAGCTGTTGATGTGGGTCTGGATGTTGTGTGCGTCTTCAGCAGGAACTCCCCTGAAGTGCTTCAGTTTGGAACTCCCCGTCTCCCGTATGACCATGGCGAACGGGACCATCCACTTCACACACTTCTCTATGTCGCCCCACTGGTACCCTGCAACGAAGATAAAGGTTAGGCTCAACCTGAGGCCAACAACTGGTTTGTAAGTTTAATATACCTTGTGAATGCACTGGAAGGCCAACGTACCAGAAACCTTTTGCATCAATTCAGATGAAGAGAAATGATACAAGGCAGAAGCAGCAAGGACACCGTAGGAAAACTCAAAGCAGCCAACATCCAGGACACAGAGGTCTAAAAGCTATGGGGAAGAAGAGAGCACTGAAACGGACGGCCAACACTCCTCCTTCTGGAGTTACTCAATCTAGCGGCGGGCAGGCAGGCAGCCCCCCGAGGCAACGGGGCCCCTTACCTCCGCAATCTGTATGAAGATCTGCTGGGGGTACTGCGGCAGGAGCACCTCACACAGGTCGTTCAGATACGCAACCTGCATGTACACGTTCAGCCAGGACACAGTGGTCAGGGGACTCAAATGCCACTTAAGAGCCTAAGGGGAACAGAGACAAGAGGCCAACAGTTGAGGAAAGACAGACATTTCTGCTCCCTCTGTCCTCTGAGGGTTCAAAATGCAGCCGTGCTCCACGCCACCATGTGTCAGCTGGAGAACACCCAGCCAGAGGCCCTCACACTGAACGCGGAAAAGATATTATGTATGCATTTAAAAAGGGCGGGAACAATTAACTTGTAACTTACCTTCATAATGATTAATTCCATGGTAAGAATTTCGTCTCCTGAACAAGCCCCGTCTGTAACATAGGCAAACTGGTGCAGCTTTGGAGGATAGATTTCCTAAAAGGAAAGAAAAGGAAGACACTACTAGCAAAAAGCCAGGCTCTAACAGTTTTAACTTATAACGTACATCCAAAATTATTCTTTTTAGTATGCTGGCAAGGAAAGAAAGGGAGAGGGTACATTGATGGGATAAACAGAGGAGCCACTCCAGTGGTTCAAAATGCCTAATTGTGAAAGAAACGAAACACCCACCCTACAAATACATACATGCATACATACATAATTACAACTGTTACTCATTGGGGATATTTTTGAAATTTTCACCTTTTCAATACATTTAACAACATGTTTGAAAGTTGGGCCCATCCACCCTTCTAATCACACCAAAATTTTAATCCTCTTAGGTCAAAGTTCAATTTTTTTGCTTAAAGTAACTATATTAATCTAAGCGTTTTATACACTCACTACTTTTCTCTCTTCTTGGTTAATTTCTAGCCTTTTTTGCATGTGTCTTAACTTTAGAGGCCTCAAGTTAGAAAAATTTAGGATATATATTACAGGCAAAGAGTTGATCTCTTCCCCTAATCCCAGTGGAGCTCAAGAAACAGCACGTGCTACATAACAAATATTTGAAAATTATTTACCTCAAGTTTGGCAGCAATAAATAAAGAAGAAATCCCAATAAGCTGTAAAAGTGTTTTTACGACATTTTGTTGTGTTGCCATATATCGATCAAAGAAATCCTGTGCCAAGTAAAATGTCTCTCTGTGAAGTTTATAGACTTCACACACCTGAAAAAACATTTAGGAAGTTTTAGAACAGTTACTTGAGGAAAAGAGAAAGACAAAAAAACTTGCCGTGAGATTTGGTGAAGGACAATGTAAGCAAATCATGAGAGAGAACCTCACTTCTCTGTGAGGACGGCCCTGCCCCTGAGCAGAGGCACAGTGACTGCTGGGGCTCAGATGGAAGGACTCAGTGTTCTGTGGTCTATACAACAATAAAAGCAAATGTTCACAGGCCAGGGAAGGAAGATAGGTTCAGAGCTTTGTGAAAGCAGTATTTTCATGGAAAATCTATGAATTTTCTCACAGAATGGTGCCCCACTTTATATGTTTCACTATGACTTGAGCAAAGAACTAACATACTTCTTCACAACGAGGCAATATCAGTAAGAAAGTGTGAAAGCTGGAACATACATGTATTTAAAGATTACAGCATATCCAAACACTGTTAACCTGCTAATCACAATAGGCAAAAGCCTTTTTAAAAAGATTTAATAAAAGATTCAGCCATCTAGGTCCTAGTTCAGGCTCCTACTTGGACAAACCCATTTATCGGATTATCTCCAACTATAAACTGAGGACACTCCTGCCCTGCCTGACCAGCTCACAGGACTGCTGAGGATGGTGAAACAGTGTGCGTGATGGAGTGGAAAAGGACCAAGGAGATAGTGGCCCTCAGTCCATCACCACCATCACCCGTCTGATTATGCATATAGGACTGCTGTTCCTAAACGAGACATCCATATAAGCGCACTTCATGGAAAAGGTGCGGAGAAACAACAAACAGGTATTCATAGAAAATTCCATCAATCACCAAAGAGTATTTCTCAAGTTCAGGCTGAGTCATATTTAGAGTCAGTCTTTATAAAGTAACATAACTACAATCTGGTCAGAAGTGAAACTAGAGCTCCTGTTCTCTAAGGAACACACTCTTGGACCTACGTCACCAGCTCATAGTCGGGCACACGCATGAGCACTGACTTCTCGCGTCCAGACTTCTTGGCTGGACCAGGGCCTGAGGAACTTGACTGCACCGCACACAAGCCTGCCTAAGAGCTGTGGACTCCAGTTTGTCCCACCGAAGACGTAAATTACCATTCTTTTCTATCCTTTCAGTGGTATTACATGACTTTTTTGATTGACTTTCAGAGAAAAACATTCCTTCAAAGTATACGGCATTGATGGCATTGATAAAATAGAACCTCTCGGTCACAACGTCTTCTGAGCTGAAGCCTCAGAGGTTGAAGCAGACTACATCTACTGCTTCAAGGAATTGCAGAACGTTCCACAGGGCGCAGGCGGGCCATGTGCCACAGTGGGTCTGCGGTGGGCAGCTGCAAGGCCCGGAGTTTTAAGCAGGCCTGCCAAAGAACTTAGTACAGAAAATGCCGACGTTTTCAGGGGCCAATGAAGAAAAGCCAATTAAAACTGATAAAAACAGCTATCTTTTCTCATCTACTATGTAAGTTGCACTACATACACACTATTTCTAATCCACACACACTCTGCAAGGAAAATACTGCCAGAAAATATTACAGATGAGAAAATCAGGACTCAAAGTTGGGTGACTTGCCTGACTCAGGCAGAGACAGTAAGTGGAGCAGGGGTCCGAGTCTAGGACGAGCACAGTGGGGTGCGCACCCTGTGAATGCAGGCCTTCTGAAGGTGCACAGCACAGCTGGTTTATAGGGGATATTTAGACACCCAACTTCCACGTGTACTCCGTCATAAAACGGATCTGCCTGAGCTGTCTTTCCATGCCACAGAAGAAAGCTTGCCTCTCACCCACTGATGGCTTAGTGTCCAGGAAGCGTCGCTTGATGGAGGCCCCACCGAGTCACCCACAGCTCCTCCCAGAAAGAGGGGCATTGCCCATGCACTATCACTGTTCATGTCTAACAGTCCCCTCTCACAACCTGTAAAACCTGTTCTCTGATTAACTATTGCAGAGAAGTATGAGAGTGTGATCAATAAAAGATTTAAACGATATATTTAGTTAGGATAAAATTCTGTGGGGAAAGAGAAATGGATTCCAAGGAGTTAAAAAGGAGCAATGTATGATTTCTGACTGTTAAAGATAAGCTTGTTCATAGATTTTCAAAGCTTATGATAGTGGCTATCAAATAGTTGTTTTCCACACTTCACTGGATACATTTAAAAGCAGTTTAATTAACAAAGACCAAATATCAATTTTTACCGTTATTGGAAAATACAACCTCTGCAACTATTTAAACTTTGATGAAAAAAACTAGATACCAACTTAAAAATATCTAAGGGGTAAAGAGACTTCAAAAACTCTTTTAAGGAAGTACGCAAGCCAAAAAGTTAGACCACTGTAGTGTATAGACCACAGCTTCAGAGACACAGAGTGTGTCAGTGGAATCAGACACACAGAGAGCATAAGAGCATAGACGATTCTAGAAACAGCAGTGCTTCCAGTAAACAGGAAGACTCTGCTCACCTCCATTAACCAGTCCAGCAGAATTGCTCGCATTTTGGGCTGCAGAAGAGGGTGCCGCTGCAGAAAGTGCTTATCCCTCAAGTACGTCTTCTCCTTGTTTAACATGATTTTCCAAACCTCCTCTCTGTTTGCCCAGCTACAAAAACACAAAACCGAGCAAAAACACAAAACAGGTGTCTGTGTGCGTCCACAGTGAGGAGGGGCGTGAGCACAGTAGCGGGAGGGACATGGCTGTCACTTACTTCAGCACGGGCAGTGGGGAGGCCCGTGGTGGCGCGAAGCTCTGCGGCGCGTAGTTTGGGTACACCAGCTCGTCCTCTTCTTTGTCAGGGGTGGGAATCAGGGAGCAGGGGTTTTCACAGACTGCATTACTGTCCCAAGGCTATGAAAGAAAAACACATTTTTAAATGTTTGATGTAAACCCACTATTTTTACATTCACTGATTTGTAGAACAGCCAGCAAAACAGAAAATGTCTTCACAATTCAAAGATTTGTTTTTTAACAAGTACAACTTATCTACTAAAATGTATTAAAAGTGGACGATAGAATTTCCAATAAAAGTATTTACACAAGCACTCCATATTCACAAGTATAAAAAATCAAATAGGTAAATTGATTGCCATCTATAATTACGGTCTCCCCATTTTAAAACAAAACTCCATCAAATGTGACATCTTCTTTTGGTTGCAGGACTAGCCAAATATATTACATAATGGGGACGTTCCGTTTTCCCTAACTCAAAACAAAACAAAAAGAATACCTGCCTAGTTAAAACCAAATTGAGCAATGGTCACAGTTATACCATGAAATCTGTGGAGACAGGGCCTAGATACTCCTGCAGATCTTCAAATCCCACCCCCGAAGCCTTGCACAAAGTAAGACTCATTGAGAGGTGAACAAGCCATCATTAAAAACCAAAATACACTTTTCTTTTAAAGATTCCAGATACTTAATTTTATTCAATTTTCAATATTTGGAAAATACTAAGGTCATTTTGCCATTTAGAAGATTTTCTTTTTAAAGCTACTCTGTCTATCATCCTACTCTAAAAAGAAGCCTATGACTGATTTTTAAAATTATAAAAGTGACTTTGTTGAAGATACGGCAGGCGACACCCCCACCAGCACGGAAGCCCTGTGAGAGTCTGAGACTCTGGCACCGCTTTAAAAGTAGAGATCTTTAATGCTGACCAGAGAAGGAAAGAGATGACTGAAATGACTGAATGAACACAGAAACCGGGTTCTCCGAGCTACCTGAAGATACAGGGTAGCTACCACGGCACACCAGCCACTTTCAGGGGAAGCCAGAGCACTTTCAGTGTCCTGAGAAGAGCAAAGCAGGACACAGCTCTCCCCAGCCAATGTGTGAAACACTGGCATGCAAATGAAGCAGGACAGCTCCTGCAACAGCTGCTGGGAAGGGCAACCCCTCCTCCAGTTCTAGCATCATGTGGTGGTAGCATTGCCTTGACTCAAAAAGGGTCACATTACAAAAGTTGCTCTTCATTCAAGAACAAATTCTTGTTTTGAAGGCAGAAGCCGGGTGCCACCCTCTACAGCCAGGTGACTGAAATAGCTGAGAGCATGCCTTTGGAGATAAACTGGTAGCAGTTCCCAATACAGTTCACAGACAAAGTGGGTGAACCGCGGGCAGACAGACGGCTCCCAAAGTTGACCCTTTTAGGAGCCAGTGTACGAAGCGGAATAAGGAAGTCCATCATGTCTTTTAACTAGTGTACATCATGTTTCAAAGGAGGCAAGATCAGTCTGACTTTAGGAAGGAATGGGATAAGAGCAAGAGACCAATTTTGACTATTCCTAACCACCCCTGACTCCTTATGTCACTTTGAATTAAGAACAGAACTACCTTATGCAACATTAGGTTCTGAGAAGTAACTAATACAAACTCCAGGATTCCACTTCAGTAAAAAAATTGGGTCTCATGCAAAAAATTAAACAACAGAATGGATATGTTAAATGGACTTTAGATAGAAAGGTATTCTTTGCATTAAGAAAGGCCTAAGGTAAGAATCATCCAAGGGTCCATGTGGTCTTGATGAAGCAGTTACATGGAGTTTAGTATGATAGCTACGAGTAGCTCAAAGCTGTTGTACTGGGCTGAACTATGATAACTTCAGAGAAAAATTCTGGGTAATTAATAGGTAAAAATGTTCTGTTACTCCAAAATTCTAGCTTCATGAGTACACACAGAGAAATGACAAAGACATTCCATAAATAGATGGATAATTTTCAAGCTATCTACTCTACAAAATGTGCAGAAACCTGTTGTCATTAATCTCTGGACAACCATGAAAATGCCTTCTAGCGGGAAACGATATGGCTCTTCACGTGCCACAGCTATCACCTCTCCACAGTCTGGGATAGGGCCACAGCCCTGTCTTAGGCACCTGGGCACCGCTCAGGTTATCCTGGAGAACAGAAACAACTCTAAAACTCTAAGAAATCAATATGGATGGCTTTGCTTCGTCCTCAGTTGGAAATTTCAATTCAAAGCACAGCTGGGAAAATAAACAATCTTGAATTTCCCAAAGTAGAGATCCATTTTATAATACCCACAAAAATAAACTTGCTTGGCTTAAAGTTTTTTTTTTTTTTTAAGTGGATGAAAAAAAAAAAGGAAAGAACTTGGGCTGCACTGTCTTATTTCCTTACCTAAAGTAAAGTATTTCTTCTTTTAACAAAGAAAAAAATCATCAACCCGTTGTTCAATATACAGTGGAACCTCCCCCAAAATGCTAATTACTAGGGTCTTCTGTGCAGTGACAACTGTTAATGCAAACTATGTGGCCCATTGCTTTGAAGCCCTTCACTCTTCCAGACCCAGCTGCTATGGCTGTTGTTCACTGCCCTACAGAGTGATGTGCTGCCCACTGCTAAGCTAGTGGGGACCTCTGCCCTCGGCTCAAATACTCTTCCTGCTCAGCTTTTATCTGTGGTAGGGTCAGAAGGCCTGATCAGCTAGCTGGGAGATAGGCTGCTTCCCCTACTAGAGCCATAACTACAGTCTCCAGCCATTTCTGGAGGTAGAGAGATAATACGAGCTTTTTCGGCTAGGAACTTCTGATATTATAATGATATCATGAGCACGCAGGAGATTTGGCGGGAACTCCATGAAGGAGAAGCAAGAGAAATGGCCTAGTCAATAAAAAAAATGTGTTGAGATTCACACATCATTACACACAATGTTCCACTAACACTCTGGCTGAGGCCAGGTGGAGCCCCAGACAGGGGAGACCACTGCAGGTAATTGCTGGATGGGCTGGAAGAACTTCCAGAAAGAGGGAAGAGTTGGAAAGCTGACCTAAACGGGGGGAAGGTAAAGGGAGGTCCTTAAGCACCAGGACAAACACAAGCATGGATGGAGGAGAAGGGGACGCTCATGAACACACACGGCCCCCATCATCAGAGTCACCCACAGAGCTCTGGGCCAGGGGCCCTCCTCCTAGGGCACCAGCCTGGGGGTGGTGACGGACTCTGCCCCGGCTGGCACAGGACTCTGGGTTACTTTCATCTTCTAACTGAGTCTGCTTCCTCAAGGGCAAAGGGGGAGGACTGAGTTATTTGATGTCCATTCTGGTTTCTCCAGACATCAGCACACATTCGTAATCTCAGGGGTGCTGGAATCCTGAGGCTGGCAGAGGTCGGTGCCCACTGACAGGCGGTGCTCAGCTCAAGGGGCTGTGGCAGTAGTCAGAGAAGAAGCCTTCAGCAGGAGCAAGTGTACCTCCACCCAGGCCCAGCCGGCAAGTGCACCTACCTGACCGCCACACTGGCTTCTCACCCTCCTGTCAATTTTGGCAATTTCTTCATCTGGATCCTGCAAAAACTATCAGAAAACAACCCCCAGCCCCCAAGGAAACATGCCATACAGCCCAAAGACAGAAACACAGAGAGAGAAGAAAAAGAAAGCTGGTTAGGTTATGGGCACCATTTCTGCCCAACACACCCTCCTTAACCCCCAGCAATAAATATGTGGGCAGAGCCCAGTCTGGTACCCAGGTGAGACGGGGGATTCTTCCCCACCTGTCCCCTTTGTACTCACAACGGCCACATTTGCCTTCCTCTTCCTGGAGCGCACAGAGACATCGGCGCTGCTCTCCTCCTTCATGCTGTCCCGCTCCTTGGCATCTCTGCAGAGCCAGGGTGGCAGAGGTAAGGGGGAGCCCGCCCCTCGGCCCGCCCCTCCCCCACCGCTGCACACCCTCCCCTCCCGAAGCGGCCGGCGCTCACCTCTCCCTCCTCTCCCGCGGCATGGCGCAGGGCGCGGGATCACACCTCAGGCCTGGGGGCACGAAGCGGGC